AAAGAGGGCAAGACAGAAAGAGAGTGTAAGTGAGAGACAACAGAGAATGAGAGACACAGGGAACAAGGGTATCCATCGTTTCGATTCATCCATGCATTCTGACCATCCCGTAATCCCAAGTTTCCGCCCATCCCTTCCATGATGAGCATCGGTATGCTGTTGCCAGTCCATGTGTGTAATTAAAGCAAATCCAGCCTTTCGCCACAAGTTGTTCCAAGTCTTGGTGTCCCGCCAACTCTTAAGTTACACAGAGGTCACAAACAGGATATCCCAAATCAGAGACCCTTTCCACGGGCATTGCTTTCTGCGGCCCTGCCAAACACCCAGTTCCCACACAAAAAAGGGGGGGCAAGCAAACTAAGAAAATAAAGAGCTGCTCGAAATACCCGGAAATTATAGTAAAATAAAATGAGGACGGTGCAACAGATACTTCTGCCATCATGACATCGTGAAATATACAGGCTGCTAAACAATTGCTGGTCCTCCTCCCGCGCTGCCAAAACCCATCCGGCATCTCAGCTATCATCCTCTGCTGCGTCTTCTTCTGAATTTTGTGCGTCTGTCTTGGATTTCTTGTTGGGCGACCGGGCCTCGGCTTCAGACTTGCGCTTGCTTCCCACAGATTCTGTCGGCTTGTCGCTGGTATTGTCGCCACCTTCAACCTTGGCTCCGTCTTCTCCTTTTGCCTCTCTCTCCATGGCAGCAACCTCTTCAGCCGTCAAGAAGCGGCCGCCGGGGCCACGGGGCCGTCGCATAGCATGGTTGTGACGTGATTCATGTAGGTACGGCTTGCGGCCCTTGGATGTGAGTCGTAGTTGCTCCTCTAGTCGCTGGCGGGCAACTCTGCGCTTCAGAATACGGTGGAACTGTTTCGCGTTGACGTAGAGAGGAGACTCTTCAGCACCGCCAGCAGGCATTTCAGGCGATTGAGGGTGTGGCATCGCTTGCCCAGGTGGTATTTGCGGCGGCGCAACCGGCCTTCCTGCGGCGTGGTTCATCATGCCCTGGGCATTGGGCATACCTGGACTTGTAACTTGGCTCATCCTTCGGGGCATTTGCGACATGTTGTTCATTCTCGGCGACTGCCGGCTGTCCTTCTTGGAGCCATCGGCCATTCTTGGTGAGGTCTGAGGCATGCTGGGATCCGAGTGCATGTAGGGGTAATTTGAGCCGGAGGCAGCGGCTGTGGCAGCCATTGCGGCGGCCTGAATACCGGGCATGCCATACGGAACTTGTTGCATGCCTTGCTGCGGCACGCCGTATTGTGGTTGATACATGTTTGGTGTTTTGCGTGCTCGACGGTTGAACAAGCGCCAACTGGGTAACGGAGCCCGCCAGAGGACGTTTGGCGAGAATGACGCGAGCGTGTGTGTGGGGGAACGAATGAGAAAAGGAGGGGCCTCAAGCAGCACTTAAGGACACGGCAGCCAAGCAAAGAGGTTTCGAGGGCAGATAACGAATAGTCGCGACGGGTCGACGCTGTGGCGAGTATAGCTGCTTAAAATGCACAGCCTTGCTTGGGTTCGAGTTGGGCACGGTTACTCCCGGCAGGGCCCTTGGTCACTTGGCTAAGGCAGGCCGTCAGTCGCAAAGCCGCTGGCTGTACAGGCACCCAAGGCTCCGGTAGAGGGTGTGTGAGCTGGCACGACGACGTAGTGCCAAAACAAAAATTAAATTCAGGGCGATGGTGGCCTCCAAGGGTCGGCCAGAGGCGCCTGCAGATTGACGTCGTAGTCGAGGGAAAGCGGCCTGAAATCCAGCCACAGCTCGACGTTTAAAATTGTTGCCCTCAAAGGCGGGAGAGGCGCGGGCTGCTGCAAGAAAGATGAGCAAGGCCGTCTGCTTGACGATGAGCCGCAGCAGCCGAGAAGACGACAACAACCTGTCCAACCACGGCGGTTAGCTACGCTGCACACAGGCAAAGGAAAAAGCAGATTCAACAATGTTGTCAGTGGATTTTCCGTCTCAACAAGAGCCGGGGGAAGGCAGACAGAGGGTTGTTAGCCAAGCTTGGGTGGCCACACTTGTGATGCGTTGGCAGCCCCCTCAATGCTCATGCAGGCCAGGGACCGACTGCACTACCCAGGTCCACCGAGCCCAACTGCGCCAACAGCCAGACTGCAATGCAGTCATAGCGGTCATCGCAGCAGCTCCGGTGGCCACAAGGGATCAGAAGCCGTGGCGAAAGCCGAGGGTCGTGGTCGCATAGCTGGGCATGGCACGAGCAGCACGACTGCCTGCCTTCAGTGCCGCGGCAGATCAACAAACAGCTCACAATCAGTCAGTGGCCGTCGAGATAGATGCTCTCGGCGCAAACGCCAGCAGGCTGGTGGCCGAGCTGTACCTCATCCCATCCTGACGGTATTCGGGAGGGGGTTTCTTTCGGGGTGGTGGTGTGAACGCAGGCAATGCTTGTTTTAGCATGTAGAGACCGGTAGGTACCTTGCACAAGAGCTGCCTCCAAGGTAGCATGGCAGGAACAAGACCCAAGATGATATGTGAGTTGAGCGCACGCCGCAGATTGCACAAGCTGGAGATGGAAGAGCGCTTGCTCGTCTCGACTCTACTGCTCGTGAGATGCAATCGCTACGACGGCGAATGCTAGTGAGGCTGGACGCGTCCGTAACAACGCGGACAACAAGTGGCGATGGCACAGGCGCATGGCGAGTGAACCAGTCGACAAGGCTCTCGCAGCCTCGGATTCAAAGACGGCAATATGATGTGCGAGCGCGCAAATGGCGAGGCATTGTGCGAGTGAGGGGCGAAGCGTGTGTAGACAGAGATCAAGTACAAGAAGAGGCAAAAGAAAAGAAGGAGAAAAAAAAGGAAGAACAAGCACAGTGGCAAAGAAGCGCGCAGTCAGGGAGGTATATGGCGACGGGCAGAATATCAAGACCAAGAACAACGCCAGGATGGGCGCTAATAGAATGGCGCCAACGGTTGATGCGTGGTTCTATTGAAATGATAATAAGGAAGCTTCGCAACTGCGCATACCTTGTTTCCCGTGTGACACAAGCCGTGTCCTATTGCAATGGCGCGACGGAGCTCAATGACGGAGCTCGTTGAGACGCGACGAAGCTCTTTGCGCCCTGATTGATAGCGACTCAAATGAAGACAGTCAAAACGCGCAGCGATGCGCAGTCACCTGATGGCAAAAGCGGCCAATGAAGAGGGCGAAAAGGATGATGGCGACGATGATAGGCCTTTTGCGATCACGAAGCTGCGATGAGGTCGAATGGGCGACGCGCAAAAATCGGGAGCTGATTTGCTGAGGAGAAGGGAGTGGGCGGTTTTTGGGACAGAGCTCGACGACGTCGAGTGGTGGAGAGCTGGAAGAAGAGGAGCCGGGTTCCCAATTTCCCAGGTCCCAACGTTCCCAGTTCTTAGTTCCAGAGGCTATTGGAGAGGTGCCGCCCGGTTTCCGGTAACAAGGCTGCCGATGTCCGACAAGGCGGGGAGCAATACTGGTACTAGTACTCCGTAGTAGTAGTACATGAGTACACACCGCGCCGCCCTGGTGGAGATGGCCCGATGCAGACAACCAGCCCGGTCGCGGGGGTCCAACAAGTCGAGAATAGGATGAAATAAAAATAAAAATAAAATAAAATAAATTCAAGTATAGTAAAGGTAAAGGCAAAAGGTCGATGTGCCCAGCCGGGGCGGGATGGAAATGGGGCGGGCAGCGACGCGGCGCGGCGCAGTTCTGAGATGAGGAAATTTCAATGTTGAAAAATGGACTTGCAGAGTCAGCGCGCAGGGCTGGCGCTCAGCGCAATGCACGAGTGCGCAGTGCGTGTAGCCAGCGCCCAAGTGCTCTGTACGTCAAAGCCGGTGTCTGCTCGTGCCAGTAAGCCACTTCTCACCTGTCTGGGCAGGTACGGAGTACCTGGGAAGCACTTGAGCCGCCTGTTGAGGCTCAGAACCCGGACCTGGTGCCGGAGCTGCACCTCCAAATGTCCAAAGCCAGCGGCTCTAACGCTTATTGCCAGCACGGCACTAGCGATGAAGAGAGGCGCGAGGCGGTTAGTCGTCGATGGCTCTCACACAGGCGCCCGGCTGGTCTGAGCTGGTTGCAATGACAGGCCAGCTGGCCGCCGACGAACGGGTTAGTTGGCGCAAACTGGCTCGAGCTTTGCCCTCTATTTCCCTTTTGTCTCGCTCAGGCTCGCTCTGACTGGACGTTGGGGCGCGCGCAAGGCACCAAGTAGTACGGGGTACCGAACACCTCGACAGATAGTCGAGTTGCTGTGAATGGCTGGGGCAGCCTGGTCGGCGAATGGTGAGTCTGGTTGTGCCACAGAGATGGGGGGGCGCACCAGACGCGTTAGGATGGATGTCAAGGTCTGGTGTGTCAACTGGTCTTTTGTCCTTTTGGTGCGACCTCAACAGCGGTGGCCGTTGAGTGGACGATGAAAGAGCCGTTGGGTGGGATTGATTGGCTGTTGTGTGAGAGGGAATTGAATGGCTGGCTGTCAAAGAGACGACGGTACATGCATGAAAATGCGAGGATGTGATTTGATTTGATTGCTGAGGCGGGGGCCCTGGCCTCTTTTAACACTTGTTACTGGCTGATTCAGCGTCTTGGTGGGTCCTGAACACAAGACCCACTTGGCCACTAGCTGGCTGCGCGACTTTGCTGTTGATTTGCTAGGAGATGACATGATGCACGGACCAGTTTCTCTCGTGAACATGACCGAGAGCTTTTTGCCATGTACGGAGTACGGGGTACATACTAATATGTACTCCATATGCGAGGAGCGTAAGGTTTTGGGTCTCAGTCTACTCCGTAGTCACGGTTCCCACTGCGGGACATGGCCAGCTTGCTGCTCGTCTTTTCTTTCTTTCTTTCTTTCTTTCTCACTCACTGCTCGGCTTAAAGCATGAGAAAAGCTGTTTGATAGTCCATCACCCTTCATCCCTCCTCACGTACAAGAATTGTTGCGTGTGCCGGGCCACCCTGGCGCATTGGTCCATTGGTCCAGACTGTGCTGAAGACTCCCATGTCACAGCTGCCATGGCCACCCAAGTTGGAGGAAGGACGAGCTGCTCCACATGTCTACGAGCGGTGGCTAAGATACTTTGATGGGCTGAGCTTCCCACCCACGCTCCTCGGCTCCCACTCCCGCACTTTGAACGAGCAAGACACGACAAGCAACGAGGTGACAAGGTTGCTCAAACACAGCACTGTAGCACTGCTCCGTAGCTCCCAGGCGTACCATGTTCTCGCCATGCTCCGCTCTTTGCACAATATGGACCCGCTCCACGAGGATAGGTGGTACGAGAACATGAGAACTGAGGTATGAGACGGGTCACCCCCTGCTCACCGTGCTTTGCGTGCCTACCTTCGGAGTATGGAGTACTCCGTACCCTTAGGTATGTATGTATGTACATTGTAGGGAAGGAGGCAAGAGGACGCAGAGGGCACTTTCCAGCGCAATTGCTTGCACTCTGTCTTTTTTTTTTGTCCTGGTTTTTTAGTGTTTTTTTGTTCTCGATCGACAGGGATGATCAGTCGTGTCTTGATCTGCTCCGCTCTGCTCTGCATCGTCCGAGTTAGCCGTCCCAGCAGCCATCATCATCCAGTCAGTAGTAGTACTTTAAGCCAGCAATCGTGACTCATCAACCACCACAGCCACGGGGCCATCCCCCAACCCTCAACATTGAACGAATCCGGCGTCGGCCCCAAGTAGTAGTAGTACCACCCCGTCCGTCTTGAGCGCCGTGGTTACTCGACAGGGTCCTTAATTGCCAGAGGGAATTGATGGCTTCAGAACCCCGAAGGCATTGCGCTGTCGGGCAGCTCACTGGCCCCCCATACCTCTTCAAGTTCTATCTCTTTCTGTCCTCGTCCCTTCTCTAGCCACCACACACAAGGCCCCTCTGACTCAAAACATTTGTCTCCCACAGCCGCACGCTCTTCGTTCGCATCCCGCACTTCGCCGCCCGTGACAGAAGTACACCTCTTCTGCCGGCTCTCCGGCTGTACGAGCGACTTTTAATTGATTACGCGGCGTAGTTTGAAACGTTGTATTCGTGATGTTTGCCAGACCTACCTACTTAAGTAGGTAGGTGCCCTAGTAGGAACCTGGGCAGTCTGAGGATAGAGAGGGATGCAGCACTGTGCCGAGTACGCAAGAGCCGCAAGCTTTTGTCCGTCCTCCACCCACCTCCTCATCATGATCCTTTGATCCAGCCCCCAACTTTTGGACACACTGAGGTCTTGTACTACTCCGTTCGTCGGAGCACTCGGTATGCTTCAGTTATTTGCACCCCCACTTCTTTGGCTTGCAAAGAGGATCGTGGAAACGAGACAGCTCCCCAAGTATGTGTATGCGTGCAAGGTTGCCCGAAAAGTCAGAAATTTATTCTCGTTTGCAAAATTTGCCGTTCTCTGCAGTCTCCTTGGAAGAACGATCAACAGTTTGTTTCTATTGTGGCTGACCCTTCATGTGTCGATGAGCTGGCATCAGGATAATACGACATTGGACCAAGACAGGCACACAGGCTGAGTTTCGTCCGTTGGTCAGGGAATTCACAAGACTGTCACCACTGAAGTTTTGGTCTACTGACCACTCCGTACGGAGAACTTTGTCCTCTGATGCTGACCAGCTCTACCCCTGCCAGAAATTCTAGGCTAAAATTAGTCCGAGAGCTTTCCCGTTTCGCCTGCGTGTGTTGGCAAGTTGAGTGCATGATTGCAATTTAGGCACTGTATAGACACGGAAAAGAGAAACTGTTATCACAGTGCCATCGTTTTGGGTCAAACCCCTACTGCAATGTGATGGGCGACATGATACCTGGTCCTGGTGATGGAATCATGCACGGAACTTGGCCACCTGTAGCCGCGCTACAATATCTCAGCAGCGTGCGAAAACTACAGAAGTGTGAGTGTACGGAGTGTGTTTCCATCTGTTTGTTTGTTTGTTAGTCACGTTTATCGTCCAAAGGTCGTGGTAAGAACCCGGTACCCGAGAAACGCCATGTTTCTTTTCCATGAGAGCTAAGGATGCCACAAAAAGTCGGTGAGCTGGAGAAGCCGCCTCAGTACTCGGTATGCCTCGCCGTTGACAGAATATCTTCATGGTTTCGACAAGCGGGGGCATGATGGACCAGCCTCGTGTCTTTCCAACATGTTTCGGTCGGTCTCCTCGATACGTCCACGACAGAACCGAGCGCAACAGCACCATGCAAAGTGGCCAGGATGCGGTTTCTCTCGTCCCGTGCTAACGCATGCCTTTTCATGGGACATGATTGCCACCACTTTTGGAGTGCGCTGTCGGGCAGCTGGGTTGCATGGTCGCCGCTTACTACTGGCCATCCTTGGCTTATGGGCCAAGTTCCAAGGCATCAACCGCGAATCCCGCCACTTAGACGGTCATTTTGTCCACATGACTGGCCAGAAAATCTCTAGGATTCTGGTCACTCTTAGTGGCTAGGGCCGGGAACGGGATTTCTCGTGTTCTCTCACCAGCTGCCAGGCGCCTGGGAGGCGCAAATTCAAGATGTGTTACTCCGTAATAGCGCAAAAACGGTATTTCAGGTACTCTGTATTGCCAAGAATTGCTTTTGCGCAGCTGCAAAGTGTCAATCAATTGCCTGCTGTGTACGGAGTACTCCGTATTGTCTCGTTGCAATAAATTCGTAGTGTTGCTCCGTAGACAACTGTGAGTTGGCACAGCAAACTCAGCGCCTTGCATCCAGCTCTTTGCACTGACTGAGACTGGCTATGCAAGTACCACAGAATCTCGTTGCCATATCAAGATTAACTGCGTCTGTCCAGCCGCAAGTAATAATAGTGTCGTCTTTGACTATATCAGACTCATGATAAAGGAGCATCTTCTGCGACGTCCAGCGGCTTGCCTGTTGATGACTGGCTGGCTTGTGCAGGCTCCAAATGCAAAATTATCGTTGGTATGACGTATAACATGCATTCTGTGCGAAATTATTGCATGCCCATCGACTTGAATGTTCTGTTCTTCAGCCCCGCGCGTCCGTATTTGGAGGAGTTTCTGGGCACTTACTTGTTGTTCGCTGGCCTATTCTCAATGTCACATCCCCCTTATTGCTCTCGGCGAGTATGCATCTGAATCACACACAGCCTCTAGCCAAACTTGTTTGAGCGAGCACGTTGCCGCGCGACGCATCGATTTCTGGCTTCTCATTTGACGCTCAATGACGGGTGTTGCCGCCACGGGCCGTTTGACATGGGCGGTAGTTTGTGTCGTCTGATTCGCCGCTAAAAAGAGCTAGATGTCAAGGCTCTTTACCAGGCCGCCTTGATTCAATACAAATAATGGTCTGTTTGATGTTTGTTTAAGCATAATTAGCCCAGATTGCTTAAAACATACCTCAGGGCTGTCTGGAGTGCCTCATTATTATTATTGATTTGATAGTTGTATGGTGAGAATTGGCCCGCTTTGACATCATATCTGTTAACGCGGGCCAAGGAAGGTGCTCCTCTCATGAGACTTATTTCAAAATCAAATTATGAAATTGCTCGTCTTCAGATTTGTATGCCCCTTTTTTTCGGTGCGTTTGGGCATGGCTTTGTTGTTTATTAAACTTGGTGTATATCGAACATAAAATCGGTTCTCGAAGGAATGCGCCAAGTGTATCGCCAGCTCAAAGCCAGCAATCTTCTCGATGCGACCACGATTTTGATCATCAGGATTCTTGTACGTTTCCATGCTGCTAATAAGTCTTTGTCAATGAGTTTTGTGTTGGTATTTCAACTAAACACAACCACCCTTTGGGTTTGGCCAAGACTCGCAGCATAATGTCGCCGTGAATCCATCTGTTTTCGAAGACAAGAACGCTGCCGAGTGGCAATATTGCCAATCAAAAGTGAGCACTTACATGCAAGGCACGAAAAGGCTTTGTGCCTATAAGTTAGTGTGATAATCCGATATTTTATCGCTCACTGAGTTCCACTAGGCCACAGCAGCCAACGCTAACACAAGTGAAAACTTGAGTCCAAAACTCTGGTGTAGGTTATGCAAAACCGTGGACTGTTGTTCATGGTAGATGTTTCTCGTCCAAAAGTCTTGTAACGTCAAGTACGCGAAAAATCCGAATCCTGCCAATCAAGACCTTCGCCTAGGTTGCATAAGTTATCTTGAAATATATCTTAGACTCCTACCTGTGCAAAACATCAACAGTCCTCCTCCATATCAACATTCAAATCGTTTGCGGATCAAGCTCCCTCTTATCGGACCGAACTTTTCTCTCGTTTAGGTAGGTCTTCCAGACTATTTCAGTCACTGATAAAGTTGATAATGCTGAGTTTGTCATGGAATATATATCGCACATGCGCAACACATCCAGCCGTTGGCCTCTCGTCTGTCTGGCGCGTTAGAGTGTACCTCACTCCTTCGACAGAAAGTTATGGACCAAAGTAAAAGCAACTAACATGTGATTAGCTCCTCCCAGATAGATGATAATAGGCCAGCCCTGTCAATCGAATCGCAACTCTCCAAGAAGCATTCGCTGCCGCCGCCGCCGCCGCTACCACCACCACCACATAAAAACACAAACTTTGTCGGACACTGCTTTGCTTCTGCTGCTACCTGTTGTCTCATTTCTGTCCTACCCTGCCTGATATTGAACTATCTGACTTGCTGTGGGTTTCGTGAAGGGAGCCCAGTCGATCTGACTGCAGTCACCACCAGCATAAGACGTAGTCGGGTTGATGGTATGCTAGTAGAGCACGATGATGGAAAATAGATCTGACCTGTCATTGATGCGCGACGTTTGATCCATAGAGAGCGATGTCAATGCACCACGCAATCCCACGAACGAATAGATGTGGGAAACCTACCACAATGAGGATACCTCGGGAATCGTGGCTTGTCATGACAGGAAGACAGCAATGAGGAGGGGAGGGTCTAAAGATACGGGGACTGGATGGTGGTGTCTCGGGCATCATTCGAGTACAAATGGGCGTGAAGTCGCTTCCCAATACTTGTTTGTAAGTGCTTCGATGCAGATGGACAACCCAAGCCTGTCCACATGGATACAAAAAGATGATTTCCAAGAGCCTCAGTATTATCCATCACCATCCGCTCCGAGATTGGAACGCAAGTTTAACGTTCGATATGCAGCTCAATTTCTTGCTTCTTTATCCCTTACGACACGTACGGTAGCAAACGATGGCTACCACCATGGCACAAGTTTTTCTTTGCTCGGCGTTGGTTGGTCTCTCGGCTTGGTTTGCATCCGCGACTGCCCATGACTTGTCTGTCTAGTCGCGAGCTCCCCCGATGGTTTTTCAGACGCCCAAGCCAACAACAAACAACCAGCTAAT